AGAAGCTTCTGGGGAAGCCAGTTCTTTGTGATTGTGACAAGCTCTTCTCAGTCACTAAGCTCCTCTGCTACTGGGAGGACTGGGAGCTGTTTCATCTTCCAAGCCATTCCAAGTTCCTTCTTCATATCCCACCCCACTCTGATTAGTCTTATGAACTAACAAACTCTTCAAAACATGCCTCTGAATTAAGATAAAAATTGTGTATCAGCACAGCATAGAGCTGGCTCTGTTTCATTTTCTTCTCTCCTCTGTTACTCTTGGTTCAATGTTAACCAAGAAAAACAATTGAAAATAAAAGAGTGCTTTAAACAGGAACTAGCATACAATAGGCAGTGTTCTTGAACTTCCACAGTTGTAAGCAGGATTTGAGGTACATACTAGCATACAGCTTCCTTAGATCTATACCCAAAGATTCTGATTAAGAGGGTTGAGTTTGGCTCTTGGGAATCTGAAACTCATTTCAGGTATTTCTAGAACCCTATGGATATGAAATATATTCTTAATCCTTGATGCAAATTAGCATTAACTGGGAGCTTTACAATTCTGATACCCAGGACCCATTCCAGATGAAAAGTTCAATTGAATTTTCTCAGAATATGTCCAGGCATCTCCTGCTGACTGTGCCATGCAGCCAGTTTTGAGAACCATGTTCTGAACACAAGAGGATCACAGGGATGTCCCCATTATACTATGACCTCCAGAGACATATCTGAAATTCAACAAATTTGAGAATATTGACTCAGTGCTCTGAGGGAGAGTGCATAGCAGAGGAGCTGTGGGTGTCTCAATGAATAATGGCCAATGTTATTCCAGTACACCTGAGTAGGGTGGTGTCTAGTGTTGTGGTAGACTCGAAGCAGAGCTGCATACGAAGTAATCAGCATCAGGTCTGCATTGCACAGTGCACCCAGAGTCTTATTTCCTTAGAATCACTAATGTTGAGACAGATGTGAAATGTTGTATCTGGATAACCTTTATTTGAAGCATCACACATAGATCTTAAATCAAGAATAATTTTCTGTGTCAAGGTGACATGGATCCTCCAAGCAAAAAAGGAATATTTCTTTATTATGATATAATTTCAAACAGCACAGTTTTTGATAGCCCATGATTTTGGGGAATAAAGTTTGTCAGCATGAAAGAGAACAATACTCAAAGAAGGGAAAATTTCATAGCTGCACTGTGTTCATGGGTATATATTGATTCTTTTTAACTTTGCAGCAGGTTTTATCTGTGCCTGTTAGTCCACCTTGATGAATGGAATTCTTAGTCTGAGCCAATTTTTTATCTAAGACATGGCATCTGCCCTCACCTGGGTGCTTCCAGAAAAAAGATGGAGCAGGGAAACGGGAGTGTTCACGACATGTCAGTGGGTAGATGTTATCCATGCACTAATTCAACAAAACCTAATTGAATGTGTACTATGTCCTGGGCCCTGGGAAGGTTACTAGAAATTCATTGATGAGCATAACTGAAGCTTCTGTCTTGAAAAGCCCATGAGAGCATTTCAGGCATGGAAAGCCAAGACACGGTGGCAAAAAATGTCCTACATGAAGGGTCTCTGTAAGTGAGACCCCAGTGGAAAGTAGCTATCAAAGAAGGATGTATTTTTCTCTAAAGGTAGGAGAGAACTTCCACTTTGCTTATGGCCTTGTCTAAATACTGATGGAGATTGTGGATTCAAAAGGCTTCCACTGCCTTGGCAGCTCATGTCAAGAGCCTCAGGTGATCACTGACATAATACATAAGCGTGTTAATTATTAAACTAACAGGAGTCACTGTACACTTACTCCTCATGCAGGACCACTGTGCTCAATGAGTTGTATTATTGAGAATGAACTGTAAGACTTGTTCTCAAACCGTTTGTGTGTGTGCACACGCATAAACTGGTTGAAATCTTTACTCAGTAGAGAGTTGTTCTTCTGTGTATAAAGTTAATTGAAAATGAATCTTAATGGAGAATGGGACTGGGAATGGGAGAGGGAGGACGAGGTGGGGTATGGTGGGAAGAGTCACTGTATTCCTAAAGTTGTACTTACAAAATTTGTACTCCTTAAATAAAAGGTTTCTTTGGGGGAAAAAAAAAGATACTTAAATACTAGTTAATATTAACTACTTGGTTTCTTCCAAGAAAACAGATAAATGGCAATTACAGATGTTTACAGAAGTGCTGTAACTAAACTTAAAAATAAGGCACCATGGACAATTAGTGTAGTTCTGGATATTCAGGAACCTCAGAAAAATATCATCTGAGGTTATATACTAAAGAGAATTGGTGGGAGGATGGGGATAGCCAAGGGAGTTTGACAATAGAATCCTCTGTGTTCTAATCCAGGCTCTACCATTGACTGGGTGTCACTGAAACTCCAACTTGCAGTTTTCTCATTTGTAAAGTAAGGATAACAAAACAGAAACACATATTGGGTGCCAGACAGCATTCCATATGATAAGAATATATCAATGAACAAGAGACAAGGACCCAGGGCACCTGTATAACATGCATGATGTTGAGTACTTATTTGCAGAAAATAAATAACCAAAATAAGTAAGTAAATAATTGAGCATGTTTGGTAAGAAATGCAGACTGGTGGTGGGGAGTGGGGATTTCCAGGGAAGGAGACTTGGGAGAAGAGGTAAGGGAGATTCAATGATGTGATTCCCATCAGAACCCGTGGACAGCACAAGACACTGTCTGAGGAACATCACAGAAGTGGTACTTGCTATGTGGAAATCCCCCAGCCTCGTCAGCCAGGAGTTTGACCTCATGCAATATTTCCCCCTTCTGCTAACTTCCAGGAACCTTAGACAAGCTTTACATTTGATACCACAGCTCTTAACCCCTCACTTGAGAAGATTTCTGGGAAAGTCAGCAGGCATCAGTGTGTGGGAGAGGGTAAGGCAGAACTTTCTTTGGCTTATACTGTTCTACATTTCCCCATGTGTCGTCTGTCCACTATCTTTCCAGCCCAACTTCAAGTGAAACTTGATTAAAACAATGGTTCACAATACCTGCCCTTTTGCCCTTAACCCTCAAAAACACAGTAATGTGGAAAAATTTTTGCTTGTCATGCTTGCTAAGGGAGAAGGAATGTTTTGTGCTTTTGATGGTCAGAGTTCAAGAATTCTGAGTGGAGTGCAATGCATGGACCAATATAAGTTAATAACAAAAGTAATTGTTCTGTTCAAACTGCCAATAACTTTCTCTTGAGAAATACTGAATCAGAAAGATGGAGAGGTAGGCGTTTGGCTTAGTGATTGTGACAGTGGCCCATATTGGAATACCTGGGTTTTAATTTCTGGCTCTGGCTCCTGAATTCAACTTCCTGCTGATGCAGACCCCTGGGTGGTGATGGCTTGAGTAGTTGGGTACCTGTCATCTATGTGGAGACCTGGATTAAGTTCCCAGCTCCCAGCTTTTACCCTGGCCAAGACCCACTGTGACCATTTGGGGAGTGAACTAGTGAATGGGAGATCATATGCACACGCTTTCTCTCTCTCACTCCTTCCTCAATCTAATGAATTTTAAATTTTTATATACTTATATTTATTTAGAAATCAGAGAGACAGACACACATAGAGGCAGAGATCATCCATCTGCTGGTTCTCTCCCTCAATGCCTGCAATAACTGGAGCCGGACAAGCCAGGAACCCAGAACTTATTCTCAGTCTCCTGCATGAGGGGAGGGGCCCAGGTACTAGTGCTGTGCCTGGTGCCTCCCAAGTTTCACATCAGCTGGAGCTGGAGTTGGAAGCGGTACCAGGTTATGAACTCTGCTTCCTAATCACTGTGCCAAATCCCCACTCAAATTAACTAATTTTTTTTTAAAAAAGAAATGCTTATCACAGCATTTAACTATTTCAAAAACTCGATTTTGCTGTCCTCAAAACCTAGCTACCGCACTTGTTAAGATGTTTCTATTTTACTCTAAAACACTATAGAATATACAGTGTGATATTATGTATGTGTTCATTTAATTTGCATTTTAGCGACAGACAATTGCTGTAATCAAAAATTTACAGTTCAGATACAGTACTTAATCCAGGTGATTGATTTAAGAACATAAGTTATTCAAATAACAGAAGTTTGAAGTTTGTTTATAAAATTATGTGATTAATAATCAGCACAATGATGATTGTAATGGGCTCTCACTAGTAAAAGTGGTGTCATTTCATATTTCTACATTGGCTATAAATGGTAGCATGTTCTTGCCCCTATGTATAAAATGGACACTTCAGTAATGAAGATGTCAAATGCTTAATTGCAAACTGTCTTGAATATCTAACAGGGATAAATTATGGTAACCTATATTACAACTCTTAGGTTTACACATGGAAGATATGAATATTTATGTTCACTAAAATGGACAGTGTTCATAATAGAAATCACACTCTTTATGATCCCCTAAATGAAATCAATCCAAATGCCCATCTGTGATGTAATAGATATGTAAATTTTACCATGTGCCTATTGTGGAGTGTTACACTAATAAAAATGCTTTCTGTTAATGGATTTTCAAACAGATTGGTTTCCTGTATGGGAAATCGGCTCTGAATTCTTCCATGTTCTCTGTACTGCTGTCTTTCATTATATGAAATTCTCTATATTCCAAGGTACATTTATATAAAGGAAAATTTGTGGTCATAAATGGCTGAAGTGTTACTCTATTTTAATTTATCTGAAGGTTTTCTGCATTCTTTTTTTTAAAAGATTTATTTATTTATTTGAAAGTCAGAGTTACACAGAGAGAGACAGAGACAGAGACAGAGACAGAGAGGTCTTTCATCCAATGGTTCACTCCCCAGATGGCCGCAATGGCTGTAGCTGTGCCGATACGAAGCCAGGAGCCAGGAGCTTCTTCTGGGTCTCCCACATGGCCCACATGGGCCATCTTCTGCATCTTCTGCTTTCCTGGGCCATAGCAGAGAGCTGGATCAGAAGTGGAGCAGCTGGGTCTCAAACTGGTGCCCATATAGGATGCCGGCGCTTCAGGCCAGGGCATTAACCCACTATGCCACAGCACCAGCCCCTGCATTGTTTCTTCTTAAAAAATATATATTTATTGAGTTATAATTCACATACCATACAATTTTCCCTTTTAAAGAATACAATCTAATTGTTTCTGGTATATTCATAAAGTTGTACAACCATCATCACAATCAATTTTAGGACACGTTCATCACTCAAGTAAGGCGCTCCATGGCCATCATAAGCCATTCCCAATTTCTCCCAACCCCACCTTACTCCCACCACCCCTTACCTAGTTTGTGTCCTAGTTTGTGAATTCTGGACACCCACTATTATTATTATTATGCCACAATTCACAATGGCTAAGATATGGGGTCTGCCATGGTGTCCATCAAGGAATGAATCAATAAAGAACATGTGCTATATACACAATGGAACACTATTCAACCATTTTTTAAAAAAGGACTGAAATCCTGTCATTTTGGACTACACAAACAAACCTATATTATAGTATTTGAAGTGAAATAAACCAGGCATTATCATGTGATCTCATTCAAACGTGAAATCTACAAAAACTGGACAGAGTAAAATGGTGGCCACACAGGCTTGGGTGGTTAGAGAGAGAGAGGAAGGTCAGGAGACATGGTCAAATTATATATAATTATGATTTGTTGGGGGGAAGAGGTGGAGGGAGTGTCTCTGTTTCCTTGAAGTGATGTATTACCACCAGCATTAATTTTCTCAGGCCAATTTATTTTGTATGGTTATCTGTGGGCTCTATGATATCTGCATAACTTGAATTACTTGTTTAGAGTCATGGATATGTAGTTTAATTTTATGTAGATAATAATAAAAATAGATTTTGTATATTACCTTTCTTAGGAAACAATCTCAAATATTAAAATGTAAATAGATGGGATAGTGCTGTGGCATAGCCAGTAAAGCTGCAACCCAAAGTGCCAGCATCCCAAATGGGCACCAGTTTGTGTCCCTGCTGCTGCACATCCAATCCAGCTCCCTGATAATGCACCTGAGAAAGCAATGCTTCGAAGATGGCCCACGAGGTTGGGTCCCTGAACCCACATGGAAGGCCTGGAAGAAGCTCCTGGCTCCTGACTTTGGAACAGCTCAGCCCTGGCGGCTGTGGCTATCTAGGGAGTGAACCAGCAGATGGAAGCCTTCTTTCTCTCTGCCTCTCTGTAACTCTGCCTTTCAAATAAATAAAGTCTTTTAAAAAGTTATGCTTTAAAAAATAAAATAAAATGTAAATAGGAAACACTCTTGCAAGCATTATTAAATTTGGCTGAACTCAAGACAGCCATAATTGCACAACACACATTCACTCAAGCAGGAAGGAGCACTCACACCCAGGAATGCCTTTTATTGTCTGATTAGTTTCAATTCTCCATTGTCTCAACTGATTTCTCAATATTATAGCTATCAGATGGATTTACTTTAAAGAATGTTATTTGGAAACTGCTCAGAAAATGTTGACAAAAGCAATCTTAATCACGCCCCCCACCCCCCACATGAGTCCTTTTCTAGCGCAAAAGGAATAAAAAGACCAGCTTTTACTCGGCCACCATATCCAACCACTGCTGTGGTTCAGTGAATACTTTATTTTCCCACTTGAACTTGAGCTCTTCTGCAAGGTCATTCCTGCCGATCTTGCGAAGATGACGAGCCAGCAGGCGAAGTTTGTCGGTAGACGTTGGGAGCGATTTTTTCCAGAAGCAAAGAAGTTCATGGATTTGTTCTGTGAGATCATCAGGATGTTTGAGTTTGATGAGCTGAACAGTGGTGTGGCGCAGAGGGAGGGAGGAGGAAAGAGACTCAGCATTTTCTTCTAAGAGCTCCTCCGCCAGCCAGTGCAGCAAGTTATCCCAAAGGGCTTCTGTGGGGCACATGCAGAACACCTGGTGTTAGGTCCCTTCCTTGGGGAATGTCCTACTTCAACCCTCTGCACCAGTTTATAGGAAATCCCCCTGTTCTCTGTTTTTGGCCTCTGAATAGTAGAAAGATACATGATGACCCAAGTGGAAAATTGAGGCCTCTGGATCCTTGCCATTGCTGAACTCATCTCCACCAAGGGTAACAGCTCTTGCAAAGGGTTAGAAATGCTTCCTAAACTTGAACATACTTCAGACCTGAAAGGGATTGTTAAAATGGTTTTCAGGCCTCAGCCCACAGAGCTTAACTGAGTAAGACTAGAATGGGGGACAACACTTGGCATTTTTAATAAGCGCCCCATGGATGCTAATGTATTATTACTGAATTGCATTCCTTACTCTTCCATGGCCTCTATTCCTTTGATCCTGCTTAATATGCTGTTTGCCTCCATCAACAATACAGCAATTTGTTTGGTGCCCCCAGTCATTGAATCATCCCCTACATGGTTTCATACACTTCAGGACCAGGAATGCTCCAAATGATCAGCTATATACATCAATGATGGTCTTCCATTCACCTTTATATATGTTGTCCTCTTTGATTTCATTCTTAATTTGTCAACCTGCACCTTGCTTTAGAAAACCCCTACTCAACTGCCCGAGTATATGAAAATGTGTTGAATGTGATCAACAAACGCTATGCTGTTTTAGACAGTTTGTACACCTAGTAGCTTACAAATCCATTTAAAATGTCTTTTCCTAAACTCAATTCAAATTTTCCCATAATAATAAAACTTTTCTCCCATTCTTCAGCCCCAATCTCACGCTTATTTTATTTCACGCAGCTGATGTCTATTTCTCCTACTTTACCCAGAAGCATTTAACCCAAGTTTTTGTAACTTCATTTTAATTTCAAAATCATTTTCTTACACAATCTGACTACTCTGTTTGTCAGAATTCTATCCTCTACAGTGTATTTCATCAGATACTTTCCCTTCCACCTATCTCTTGACTCCCTCCTCCCCACAGTTCCCTCTCTGTTCTTCTTGCATACCCCTCTTTCCTGGGTTCTGCTGTGCATTCTCATCTCCTTCTTTCACAGTAAAATCCTTTAACAGGTAATGTGAATCAGAGGCCTCAGTTCTTTACCATCGACTCACCACTTGAACCCTTTTGCGGCTCTATACCCACTTTCAGAACAGTATTGAAGCCCTTAGTTCAAATCTTTCTGTAGCCCTCCTAATTACTACTTACAGGAATTGAGACTTAGCATCTCTGACTTCAATGGAGCATTCCACTCCTATATTTGGATAATACGGCCTCCCTTGCTTCTTCTAATCCTTCTCTTGCCCACTTGCTGAATCCCTTTCTCCTGATACTGATCAATTACCGCCTCCCGACTTGCACATCCTCTATTTGTTTCCACTTCTCTCAATGAATTTACCAGGTTTTACTGATGTACCACTTCTTTTGTTCAAAATATCCCAAATCTACTATGTCTTCTTTGACTTTATCCCCAATTAGTGTATTCATTCAACTGAGTAATCTAAAACGTGAGATATTATTTGAATTTCTTATGGACAATCACTTCTTATCCCTTGCTCCAAGTCCTAGTGGCTAACTGCAAACCCTCAAACATGTCTTCTGCTTTACAGCCTTATAGACGCAATCTTAATCCTGCCCCACTTATCTCTTTCCTATAACATTAAAGGAGCCAGAATTCCAACTTGTATTCCTGCCATAGGTTTTGAGTAAGTTTAGCCTTCCACACATCTTATACAGAGTTTTGCAAGTTCATTCTGATGTTATAAGCTCCTGTCAATAAATCTCTTAGAGGGTTCTCTTATTGTCTAAACTTTTGAATTCAGCATTTAAAACTTTTAATATTTCTATCCTCTTCAGAGTGTCTAACTTCATCTGTCATCATCCTTCCTATAGCAATTATGATGACACTAGTCTGTAAGAGGATTCCTTTGGGGAACAATATCTCCCAGCTGTGTGACAACCTGGGGCTTCTTACACATATGGAGGGCCATTAAGCAGGTTCAATATCCTGCACTCAAAATGTTTGGGACTAGTTCTGAATTTTGAAACTTCAGATTTTGGAACACTCACACATATGCAATGAGATGTCTTGAGGATGGGACCAAGTCTAAAAATGAAATTTATTCACATTCCACATATACTTTATACACATAACCTAAAGGTAGTTTTATACAGTATTTATAGGAAGTCTGTGTTTGACATTGATCAGCTATGAGATCAGGAATGGAATTTTCCACTTGTGGAATCATGTTAGTCTTCAAAAAGTTTCAGATTTTGGAATACTTTAAATTTTGAATTTTCAGGTTAAGGATGTTCAACCTGTGTGTTTGCGCTCCTTGGTGATTACTGACAAGGACCATGGTTGTGCCTTTGTTTGAACATCGAATTCTTCAAACATTAACACTATTGAACTTGCTGAACTTCCATGCATTGCTATTGTTGTTATTTTTCCTATATCACCTACTCTTCCTTTTCAAAAATTTGTATTGGACCTGAGAGGGTGTATTACACTAGGATTTATTGCCATGCTACTCCTTATGTAGTTCAGTAGGACTTGGGCATTTTCCATAGAGGTAACCTTTGATTGGAATTCTATGCCATCCATTGTTCTGCTTTTGCTTTTAAGGAAATTCATTTTGAGATGTTAGTAGCTACTAACACAGTGACTTACTGGTCTTCATTGAGTGTGCTTTGATTTCCGTATCAGGCCCACAAAAGTGTCAAAATTCTATCATGAGATCTGCATTATTTTTATGAAACTAAATGTTGTGTGACTACAACTAAATATTACATGTTTCCTTTGTGGTTTCATACTTCAAATATAGCGACCTCAACTGCTGGATTGAAGGGACCACACTCAAAGACTTACAATTTAATAGTCAGCATTCCATAACAAACTGCAGTTGTTTACTCACCAAACCAAGCACTTTCTTGTTATCCAAGTAAAACAATGAACAGTAAGTTTCATATTTCTTACAAATTTCAATATAACTTTAATTACTTGCATATTTGAGAATGCTATTTGGCTTATATGTATATGGCTTACAAAGGAAAAATCTATTAGGCTGATAAAAATGATTAATTGAAAAATCACTTTCATTGTTTTTATGAAAGGATTTATGCATACATAAAATACAAGAGGCAAAATTATTATGATGACAGTGAAAACATTCCTTACCTAAAGGATCTGCAGAAATTCTTCTAGTGCTCCGTGGACGGTTGATGAATTTTTCATGCTATGGGGAAAAGAGAGTAAACAGAAGAAAGTATTCACTGGTCAACATGTTGCACTCAAAATTCATCTGAGCCTCTCTCCTACTTGGAAGAAGTACTCGGTTGTACACTTTGCAAAATTAGACTTTTATTTGTGTGTGCATGTTCAGCAATTGTTTTCCTAAAAGACTGGAGAGTACATTAACCCAACTCTTTCATCAAATTTAAATTTAAGAATGCAAATTTGAACATGATTATTACAATAACCTGAATGCAAAACACACAGGTTCCAAGTAAAATTTAAAACGTTGGAAGTGGCCAGCGCCGCAGCTCATATGCTAATCCTCCACCTAGTGGCGCCAGCACACCGGGTTCTAGTCCCGGTCGGGGCGCCGGATTCTGTCCCGGTTGCCCCTCTTCCAAGCCAGCTCTCTGCTGTGGCCCGGGAAGGCAGCAGAGGATGGCCCAAGTGCTTGGGCCCTGCACCCCATGGGAGACCAGGAGAAGCACCTGGCTCCTGCCTTCGGATAGGCGCGGTGCGCTGGCCGCAGCGCGCCAGCTGTGGCGGTCATTGGAGGGTGAACCAACGGCAAAGGAAGACCTTTCTCTCTGTCTCTCTCTCTCACTGTCCACTCTGCCTGTCAAAATAAATAAATAAAACCATCACTTTATCAAAAATTAATCATTAACCTAATCATCATTTTCTATGTGGGTTGTAGAGTAGTTTGTTCGCAGCTAATGTGGGATGGTGGTGGCAAGAGCACTAAACAGATAAATAAAAACATGTAGGTTTGGATACTGAGTCAGTAGTTGCGTACCAGTGTCACTTTCGAAAATGCATTTAGTGTCAATTCTGAAATGTGTTTACTGAAACCTACATCACAAAAACTTGTATACAAGTGTTCACTGCACCTTTAGTTGTACTAGCCCAACACTGGAAATAACTGAAATGTTTTTCAATAAGTGAATGATTAAACAAAGTATAGTACATGCCAGTCACAGCACATGACTCAGTAATAGTGAGTGCATGCAGCAACTTGCAAGGGTTTGGGGGTGTTACTGCAAGTAAAAAAATTTAGTCTCAAATGTTACATAATCTGTTTCCTTTTATATAGAATTTTTGAAATTGAAAAATTATAAAAATGTAGAACAGCTTAGCAGCAATTGCTAGTTTTAGGGTTGGTGGAGAATGACTAAAAATAGAATTTTGTGGTGATAAAATACTTCTGCATCTTGGTTACACAAATCTGCACACATGATAAACTAGCACAGAACTATACACATCCATTGTATCATATTGACTTTGTGGTTTTGACATTGTTCTATAGTTATATAAGAGATAATCATTGAGGAAAACTGGGTAACGAAAGCATGAAACCTCTCTGTACTATTTTTGCAACTTCCTGTGAATCTGTAATTCTTTAGATCCTTTAAAAAAAGCATACTTCACATGAGTGACACAGATGATATAAATGCTATATGTTCCTGTATGGCCCACAGGTTCTCACTGAGTACTCCATACAACTTAGTTGAATCTGAATACTATATTTTGTGGGCATTCTTATCAGAGACCTTGCATATACATGGAAGCATACAAAACTTCCAATAAGAAGCTTTAATGTTCAATGATTGTTTTCAGCCTTTGTCTCCACTGTTGAGGTGCAATGTTTTTTTCCTTCGTATTAATTGTTGAACTCTTTAATTAGTATAAGTTTAACCTTATGAGTATAAAGTAAACTGAGAAAGATCTTTGTAAAACTTGAGAGTGGGAATAGGACAGGGAGGAGGAAGAAGAGTTGGAGCATGGATGGGAAGGAAGGTAGGGTGGGAAGTATCACTATGTTCCTAAGTCTGTATATATGAAATACATATATATAGATAGATATGATATATACACATATATCTAGATCTAGATCTAGATCTAGATATGCTTGGTACTGTGGTACAGGGTTTAAGCCATCATCTGCAGTGCCAGCATCCCATATGAGTGCCAGATCAAGTCTTGGCTACTCCACTTCTGATCCACTCCCTGCTATTGTGCCTGGGAAAGTAGCAAAGGATGGACAGAGTGCTTGGACCCTTGCATCCAAGTGGGAGACCCAAATGAAGCTCCTGGCCTCACCCTAGCCTACCTCTGGCCATTGTGGCCATTTGGGAAGTAAACCAGAGAACGGAAGATAACTGTGTGTGTGTGTGTCCCTTTCAGTAATTCTAACTTTCAAATAACTAAGCAAATAAATGACTTTTTTTAAAAAATAAATTTTAATGGAAAAATTGTGAAACCCAGCATAAGTTCAAGTACATTATATGGTAGCACTATAAAAGACATGCATACAATTTTTGATGCATTAACTATGTGTTAGAATCCTTTAAAAAAATTGAGAAGCAACAGTTTAAATAATGCAACAGATTCTGCCATTCAAGTCAAAGGGTCCATGTCTGTGTTGAGCCTGGGGCAAGTGTTATGCATGAATTTTTTTTTCTTTTCTTTACATGAACAGTTTTTCCCTCTTATTCACTTTTTGTTCCCAGATGTCTCATAGCATCATGATCCTCTTGAGAGTGTTTCTGGTGTTTAGATATATGCATTTTGTCACACACATGAAAATTCAGGCCTAGTGTTTCATTTGACACACATCAGCCAAGTGCTGTGTTGTGACAGCACTGCAACAGCAGAAGCCAGGTGGATCGGAAGCCAGGATCCAGGAGCTTCTTCCGGGTCTCCACGTGGGATGCAGGCACCACAGGTACACCTCAGTGCCAGCCTCCCATATTCTTAGTTTTGAGACTCAGGTTAATTTCTTGCCCCAGAAATTACTTCTGCTGCCCAGCAACTAACCTAAGCTGCTTATTTCTCTCCCTTCTTATCTGATATGTCTGAAACTCTCATAAATTAGCCTGCTTCATATAACTTAAAAATCACTTTCTTCTTGGTTTTCTCATCTGCATTCCATAAAAACAGACCAATGAACAACAACCAACCAAAAAGAAGCAAGTGTGGAGGATGGGGAAAGTCTTACTCTTTTCCTCCATGACAGTTGAGAAGATCAAGGCTCAAGATCAGCAGGTGTCCTTTGAGACCCACATTGATAAAATTGGTAAATAAAATTGATAAAATTGATAATGCACTTATCATAGCACAATACATTATTCTCATGTTTATGGTGATGATGGTGTAAACAAATCTACTGTGTTTCCAGTTGTATAAAAGCATAGCAATACAGTTATGTAAAGGACATAATACTCAATAATGATAACAAATGACGATGTCATTAGTTTATCTATTGTTATATTTACACTATAATTTTAATTGACAGTATTTATATCTATTTATGGGGTTCAGTGTGACTCAATATTTGTATAAAAGTGTAATGCTCAAATAAGGTTAATTAGCATTTCAATCTCTAATATTTATCATTATATTTTTATTTGAAAGGCAGAGACACACCGAGAAACAGATAGATATACAGGGTTGGGAGAGATTTTCCATTGGATAATTCACTTCCCCAATACTGGCAACAGTCAGGGCTGGGTCATGCTAAATCCAGAAGCTGAGAACTCAATCTGGATCTCCCACATGGATGGCAAGGACCCAAGTAACTGAACCATTACCTGCCCCAACCCCACCCCACGCAGAGTGCTCATTACCAGGAAGCTGAATAGGAAACAGAACATGCACTCAAACACAGCATGCTGCTAAGAGATGCAAGTGTCCCAAGCGGCATCTCAGCCTGCTGCTAAAATTTATCATTTCTATGTGTTGGGAACCATCTAGTTATTTTGAAATAAAAAAAAGTTGCTGTAGCTGTAGTTACTCCACTGTTTAGAGAACACTGGTACTGATTCTCCCTATATAACTATTTGGATTCTTGTTACAGGAAGGGGCGAGGGGACAGTGGATAAAGACGCATTGTAATGTATTTTAAATAAAATGGCTTAGTTCAGTTCTTGGCACACACTGGGTATGAAATGTTACTTAATTGCACCCCTAATTTCCAATAGGTAGATGATTGCTGAAAGATTCATCTGTAACTAAAGCTAATCCTGTGAGTACAGGCTTATGTAGAGACAGGCATGGTCAGACTGGGACCACAACATTATGACCTTGAAGACTGCACCCCTCTCCATGGTTTCACTGCAGACCTGGACTCAACCACTGCTGGCCATCTTGTCCCTGAGAGTGTTTTGCTCTACAAACAAGCTCAGTGCTTCCATTTTGGCCAGGATTTACCCTCATTGCATGTGTTTTCAGGGAGTGTAGAGAGGATGAGCATTAAGTAAGCTAACACCACTGTAGACACATGCATGAAAACAAGAGTGAAAAGCAATTTAGTGGTAGCAAGTGCTGCTGTGGGTTGGATTTAAGGCTTTTATATTCATATTAGGGAGGGCAGCAAAGATGATGGATAAAATTCCTCTAGGGCTCACCATAATAACCAGTAAACTCTAATATCACCATTAGAAAATAAGACAGTCAGGAACAATCAGTAAGCCCTTCCCACTATGTCACAGACATTTTGAAGTGATGAGTGGAAACAATGAGAGCCTCAGGTGATTACTGACGTCATAAATAAGAGTGTCAACTGTTAAATCAACAACGAGAGTCACTGTGCACCTACTCCTCATGTAGGATCTCTTAATGTCCTTAATGTGTTGTCCTATGAGAATTAACGGTAAAACTGCTACTCAAATAGTACTCTATACTTTGTGTGTCTGTGTGGGTGCAGTCTGTTGAATTCTGTACTTAGTATATACTAAGTTGACCTTCTGTATGTAAAGATAATTGAAAATGAATCTTATTTTTTATTTTTTAATTTTTTATTTATTTTTGACAGGCAGAGTGGACAGTGAGAGAGAGAGAGAGAAAGGTCTTCCTTTTTCCGTTGGTTCACCCCCCAATGGCCGCTGCAGCTAGCGCGCTGTGGCCGGCCCACCACGCTGATCCGAAGCCAGGAGCCAGGTGCTTCTCCTGGTCTCCCTTGCAGTGCAGGGCCCAAGCACTTGGGCCATCCTCCACTGCACT